ACCCGGCCAGAAACCCTGGCTTGAAAGTACAGTGTACCAGTTACAAATACCTCAAAATAACCACCCTTAGCATTTTTTTACTTGACTCTTTAAATCACCGCAGTCCACCTTGAGATATTAGGTCGACCTCTCAAATTGTATAGTCTGTTTCAACCTTTTAACCTGATTGCTTTATGGCAAAATAGAATCCGACCTCATGTCTCAAGTGGGTCGAGTTCACGTGTGCCCCGCTAACCATTTATCATCACGTGGCCTGTGAACGTATACTTGCCAACTATAATTTGCATATATATATCTTTAAATATTAACACATGTGCATATTATTTATTTAATGCACATAAATAATTATTATTATGAATTCGTAAATAAAATGTCGTTGTTATCGTCTGTTTCGCTGCTTACAGACAAGACGAGGTGGCCGAGTGGTTAAGGCGTTGGACTGCTAATCCAATGTGCTCTGCACGCGTGGGTTCGAATCCCATCCTCGTCGAATGTTTTTGTAAAAAACTAATATGTTAGGGGTCATGAAAATATGTGAAAGCCTGGTACCAGAGGGCGCTGTGTGGGCGCACGCGTCTGTACCATCCTGACCATTTCTGCCACGAAGCAATCAGGAATAGCTATTTGGGCTATAGGAAAAACAGAAACCCTTTTATAAGAGTTACAGCCTTTATTGGAGTTCATTTTCTCCCAACGTTTCAGAGGTCTTTGAGCCTTCTAGAAATTAATTCTAAGAGTTTCCATTTCCTTCTGCCTTTTGCGTTCTTTCAGTTAAGACCTGCAGTTGACTTTAGTTATTTGACTTTGTCGTTACGTCTCTGGCATCTTCCTTTGCCATCACCAGTGCCATCAGGTGGGGTCTTGCATAGAGAGGTGTATACTAGTCACACCCAATCAAGACTAGCTTAATTTTATCTACACCAAAAAAAAAATATAGGCTAACGATTTAATTAAACATGTGTGTCTAGCTAATTCTTTGGCAGGGTAAATCCACTGTCACATAAGTACGTAACTTTTTCATGAACTGCATATTAAACAATATTTTTTTATTTTATGTAATGTAAGCAAGAAGGAACTAATACTAAATTTTAATTAAACCAAAAACATCCGACGAGGATGGGATTCGAACCCACGCGTGCAGAGCACATTGGATTAGCAGTCCAACGCCTTAACCACTCGGCCACCTCGTCTTGTACGGGAAACGTGCTAATAATGCACCGTTTAAATTAACATATTTTCCAACACAACTGTTCAAATAAAACTAATGAGAGTTATGCGAACTATTTAAGCAATTGATCTAATAAGATGGGCCACAACATGAACCTTGGTACTGACCGATTTTTTCTTCCCTACCTTACGCTGGTACCTTAAGAGGCTATTCCAGCTTCGCCCGGACCAGTAGATGAGCTCACGGGCTTAACCTGAGAGAATTGCTGGTGGTAGGACCTCTTGTGAGTCCGTACGTGTAGGTACCACCGCCCTACCTATTTCTGCCGTGAAGCAGTAATACGTTTGGGTTTGAAGGGTCGGGCAGCCGTTGAAACTATAGATACCTTAGAACTTATATCTCAAGGTGGCTGGCGCATTTACGTTGTAGATGTTCATGGGCTCCAGTAACCACTTAACACCAGGTAGGCTGCGAGCTGGTCCACCCATCTAAGCAATAAAAAAAATGTGCTAACACTAGCCCTAGCAAGAGTACAGCTTCACAGAATCTACCAACCTTAGAACTTATATCTCAAGGTGGCTGGCGCATTTACTTTGTAGATGTTCATGGGCTCCAGTAACCACTTAACACCAGGTAGGCTGCGAGCTGGTCCACCCATCTAAGCAATAAAAAAAATGTGCTAACACTAGCCCTAGCAAGAGTACAGCTTCACAGAATCTACCACCTAAACGGTTTAAAGATTAATTTCAAGAGGCCATACGTTGAAAATGTCATACAAATTCGAGTTTTTAAGTACCCGGTACTATTTTAATAAATAAAAATAAACTAGTTGAGCGAAGCATCGACACTAGTGCTGTTTGTTATTACAATGAGTTCGTATGTAATAAACGCGCAATGTAATGTTCGCGGGACCAGACTATTAGGGGTACTACTACCCTGCGTGCGCGTATTTTAATTTGCAGTACATTGAGTGCCAAAGCAAGAATGTTATTACTAGTTTTTTTTTAATGTTATCAGCTCTAATATACCATTTAAATCAAAAGACATCACAGCCCATTCTCCCATCCCTTTCTCACGGATCGTTTGGAACCTCTGGGTCTACGGCGGGATTTCGGTTCCCTCTGTACTTTGTACCGTATGTTCCATGGGGAGTGCTCTGAGGAATTATCCGAGATGATCCCTCATCTCGTTTTTACCATCGCACTGCCCGCCACCGGAGTAGAGTTAATTCTGCGGTCATCCACAGTGCGTTTCCAGAGGTCTTTTTTGCCACGTACCATCCGGCTATGGAATGAGCTCCCCTCCACGGTGTTTCCCGAGCGCTATGACATGTCCTTCTTCAAACGAGGCTTGTGGAGAGTATTAAGCGGTAGGCAACGACTTGGCTCTGCCTCTGGCATTGCTGAAGTCCATGGGCGACGGTAACCACTCACCATCAGGTGGGCCGTATGCTCGTCTGCGTTCAAGGGCAATAAAAAGTACTAAAAAACTTGAGATCACCTCTTTTTAGTGTCGCTTAGGTGTGCCGTTTATGTTTCTCAACGGCGCTAAAGACGTTTTCGCTTTCTCTATTATCAATTGATTTACACGTGTTTTTCTCGTTGTAGGTATGTACGACATTTGCGTGGAGGACTTCATGGTGCGTGAGGTCAAGTACATATGGAACAGAATGACCTTCCAACAACTGAAGGACCTCTTGAAAGAGAACAAGGTTCGTTACCAACGTATAATATAATTTATGCATATATCACCCGAAAAATTTACTGGTGGTAGGACCTCTTGTGAGTCCGCGCGGGTAGGTACCACCGCCCTGTCTATTTCTGCCGCGAAGCAGTAATGCGTTTCGGTTTGAAGGGTAGGGCAACCGTTGTAACTATACTGAGACCTTAGAACTTATATCTCAAGGTGGGTGGCGCATTTACTTTGTAGATGTCTATGGGCTCCAGTAACCACTTAACACCAGGTGTGCTGTGAGTTCGTCCACCCATCTAAGCAATAAAAAAAAAATGTTTGTTATGATGAATGGCATTGTGGAGAGTTATAAGACGAAAGGAAGATCTTCCCCATAGACGAAGAGATCCCCATAGACACCTACAACGTAACGACCCCCCCCCCCCCGACCCCCATCAGTCATGATTTCAATTAATGCATTATTAGTTTGTCAAGACCAAATGTGATAATTTTTTTTGTTTTAACGTCGCACCAGTGCCATCCTCCTTGTCTTTACTCATACTTTACTCTGGAGCTTTTGCACCAAAATGTGTTTCTTACTATTAGAGTGTTGTGAGTTCGCACGAATAGTCATAGTCGTCATCTTAATTATTATTAGGTTTGAGTTGTCAGACAGCCGTGTGCTTCATTGGAACTTCGATCTGATGTCTCAAGGCGGCGAGGTACACTCTTCACAATTTGAGCTCCTCTTCCGTCTCTTTCGCGGCGTAACACCGTAACGTAACGTAACGCGTAACACTAAACACGGCACAGATAATAAAACTGGTTCTAAACTTGGACGAGTCAATTTATCATATAAGGCTCAATAATGCTACTAGTGTCCGTTAGGATTAAGTGGGCACTGAACTCTGTGACGAGATGTGATCGGATCATGGTCGATCATCGCATCATTTTAAATGTATTTAAGACGTTTCCCTCCGTTGTAAGAAGAGACAAGCTTTAAGACTTCAGGATCATAACTTGCTGTTCGGCTTTGCAGGCTATAAAGAGTTTCCCGCTGGTGGACAGTCCGGCGTCGATGGTGCTGCTGGGGTCCATCCACCGCTGGGAGCTGGTGCGCGTCATCGAGCGGCAGGTGGGGCGCTCGCGGCGGCTGCAGGTGGCCGCGCAGTGGCACCGCCGCGCGCTGCAGGACGAGGCCCGCGCCCGCACCAGGAGACCCTCCAGATTCGAGGTCACTCAGCGTTCCACTCATCTCACTCGGCTTCCTCATTCATCCTATACAAAACAGAACCCGCACCAGGAGACGCTCCAGATTCGAGGTCACTCAGTCAAACTCGTCAAACCTTACTCATTCATGCTATACAAAACAGAACCCCACCCACACCCCGACTGCTAATCATACTTTAGTTACATAAATAATAATATAAAGCTGATCACAACCGGTCCCCCGGGGGTCCCCGGGTCAGCAAGCGCTAGTCGGATAGGTCATCGATCAATCATCACAGGCTCAATAGAATGAAATACCGTAAAATGGGGGAAATCGGGACACTTTCTAAGTTCGACATTGATTTTTATAGTTTTTTTTTTTTTTGTAGTTACAGTAATAAAACGGAGATCATAATGGTTCCGGTAGTTTAAATGTTATTTATAATGCATTAAGATATAGTTTATTAAAGAATAATCGTAAAAAGTTTCAAAAACTCACTTGTCCCCATTCACCTAGGCATTGGGTGAATCGGGTCGCATATGGGAACAATAGATTTTTTCAATAGGGCTCTTTAGTTGTTAGGTAGGTATATAACTTTAGGTAATTAACATTTTTATGACTAAATTAAACCATTTAATATTCTTAATCACTAAATAAAAGTAATTTTCAGTTCAACAAAGTCAAATCTCTAACAACTCAACAAAAGCATTGTGACATCCCAGATTTGTGCCTATTCTATCTCTAGTCCTTATTCCCCTAACCTACAAACAAACACAAATCACAACAAATAACCTGTCCTAACAATAAATAGAAAAAAATATATAACTAAATACAAATGAAACATTATATAATAAATAGATATAAAAAAATATATATAACTAAATACAAATAAAACATTATATCGATGACAAACAAACGAGTAATAAAGTTATTGTTTGTAATATCTTCTAGGTGACTCCGGCTCCGGACATGCTACACGCGCCGGGGACCGGCATGACGCGAGGGTCCTCGCTCACCACCAAGGACCAAGGAGGACTACTGCCATGTACGTGTGGGGGGACTCTGAGTAATCTACACTGTGTACAAGTAGCAGTACTGCAGCATTCTAGTAGAAGATACTACTGGTCGAAGCTAAGTGGTTACCGGAGCCCATAGACATCTACAACGTAAACGCTGCCACCCATATGAGATATGAGTTCTAGGGCCTCAAGTATAGTTACAACGGTTGCCCCACCCTTCAAACCGAAGGGCATTACTGCTACACGGCAGAAATAGGTAGGGTGACGGTACCTACCCGTGCGGACTCACAAGACGTCCTACCACCAGTAACCAAATTATAATTTTGCGGGTATGATTTTTATTACACGATGTTATTCCTTCACCGTGGAAGTCAATCGTGAACATTTGTTGAGTACGTATTTCATTACAAAAATTGGTACCCGCCTGCGGGATTCGAACACCGGTGCATCGCTCAACACGAATGCACCGGACGTCTTATCCTTTAGGCCACTACGACTTCTAAATTGTCGATTGTCGATCACGACTGCGTTTTACGCCGCTGGCTCGTCCCCCAGTATTTGTTGTGTGTTGTCGCCAGCTCCCGGTCAGCTGTTCCGGCCCAAGTCCATCCTGAAGAAGACGAACTCGTTCACGTTGACGCGCGGGCTCGCCTCCCCGCCCCCGCAGGCGACCACCCCCTCCCCCGCGTCCTCCCCGGCGCAAGTGTACAGCACCGTCACCGGAGCCGAGACCAGGTATGACTGTAAAGCCTTATATTGATCGGGGTTTATATGAACGTAGCTTTTGGGGGTCGGCGCGCTGTGGTCCCGGGGCTCCGCGGGGGACCGCGCTGGTTGCAACTGGTGTGGCTTGCGTACCTAACATTTAGATCAGAGGTATTGGCTGTGGCGTCCAGTTTCCATCTAACCTTTTGGACATTAGCTCTTGAATATTTTCTGAATTGACTGAATTTTCTGCCTCAACACATTATGAAACAATCTCAAAGTACAGTAGATTAGGGGGAATAGAGACTAGAGTTAGAATAGGGACAAATCTGGGATGTCACAATACTTTTGTTGAGTTGTTAGATTTCACTTTGTTGAACTAAAAATGACTTTTATTTAGTGTTTAAGAATATTAAATAGTTTAATTTAGTCATCAAAGTTTTGTTAATCATTAAAGATATTAAAGAGTTAATAACCTAAAGTTAGGTACCTACCTAACAACTAAATAGTGCCAGCCCTATCGAAAAACTATTGTCCCCATACGTAACCTGATTCACCCCAAAGCCAAGGTGAATCGGGTTAAGTTATTTTCTCAGTTTTTGTGTATATTTTGAAATAAATTGTGTATAATAACGCATCGTATATAAAAATGTAACCCAGCGGAACCATTTTAATCTCAATTTTATTAGTATTACCATAAGAAAAACCATTGAAAATTTGTGTTGGATTTGGAAAGAGTCCCCCCGATCTACGGTAACCAAAGAAGTTACGTATAATTATAATAATAATATAATTAATAATAATTAATTTATTTCTCTCTTAAATCTTACAAATACAAATGGAAATTAACCTTATAATTTATTTTGTAAGCCTTTGAAAGAGTTACAAGTCTGTACTAGGTTCAAAGACCTGTATTACTGATCTCCGGGCTACCACCTTCTTAAGATAGATTAGGTTAGGTTAAGTCGTGAACAAAAGCCACGGACTAGTGTTGAGAGATCGTTAGGTGCTATCTATATATGAGTCGACTATTATCAAAGGCGGCAATCTGACTTTTGGACAATGATTGGTAAATCAGAAAAACGAATTATTGACTTTGTATTCCATTGGTAGTCACAAAACTCTTCGGAACGACATCTTAGATAAATAACAGGTTAACTATTAACCTTTATTTAATGCAGGTTTTGAACCGTATTCTTTGAAGGAGACGATTATATTCAAATAAATCTGTATTGACATATCAATAATTTTTTTTTTGTCCAAATGCACAGATTGCCGCCTTTGATAATAGACGACTCATATATAAAAATGAATTGCTGTTCGTTAGTTTCGCTAAAACTCGAGAAAGGCTGCACCGATTTGGCTAATTTTGGTCTTAAATTATTTGTGGAAGCCCAGAGCAGGTTTAAAAGGTAGATAAATATGAAAATGCTCGGAATTAAATAAAAATTACAATTTTGTTTTTCCTTTGATGTGTCCCCCGTCGGACGGATTCCTTTTGTTTGTTTTGAGTTTACTTTATACAAAAGCTTAGGTCTTTTATTTATCGATTGAGGATCAGCTAGTGTGTGTATAATTTTACATATCAGTATTACTTATTGATCGTAGTTAGTATGAAGCGAGTATTTTCTATGTGTGCCCCGTGGAGAATCCAAACTGTATCTCTGTACCCCGCCGGCGCAGGATCCGCGCGGCCTTCGAAGCCATCTTCAGGCGGTCGACGCTGCTGCAGGACGTGGAGGGAGGCCTCTCCGACCAGCTCACCCCCGGACTGCCGAGGAGTCCCTCCATCAACAAGAAAGTTCAACTGGTAAGGATAGTTACATGCTCCATTCTCTAGTGTTTTTTTTATTGCTCTGAGGAGTGGACGAACTCACAGCCTACCTGGTGCTAAGTGGTTACTGGAGCCCATAGACATCTACAACGGCTGCCCCACACTTCAAACCGAAAGGCGTTACTGTTTCACGGCAGGGTGGTGGTACCTACCCGCGCGGACTCACAAGTGATCCTACCACCAGTAATTATGTAAATTATAGTTTTGCGGGTTTGATTTTTATTACACGATCCTATTCCTTTACCGTGGGAGTCAATCGTGAGCATTTGTCAAGTACGTATTTCATTAGAAAAATTGGTACCCGCCTGCGGGATTCGAACACCGGTGCATCGCTTCAACACGAATGCACCGGACGTCTTATCCTTTAGGCCACGACGACTAAACTGACTGAGGAGTTTCTGGTGAGCGATCGACCACCTTTGGCCTGGTACAAAACGTAGACATTCCGTAGTCTCCCCACTATCTGGTAAAATGCTCCTTGCCTAACCAGGCCACAGTACAGTATTAAGAAATACTAGTATGCAAATGAAAAGAGAAATTGGTGTAAATAATTATCAAAAATGTTCGACGAGGATGGGATTCGAACCCACGCGTGCAGAGCACATTGGATTAGCAGTCCAACGCCTTAACCACTCGGCCACCTCGTCTTGTCTGTAAGCAACGAAACAAACGATAACAACGACATTTTATTTTTAATATAATTATATTTATATTTATTTGCATCAAACAGTGCGCAGATGTTTTATGCAAATTACAAAACAGAATACGACATATTATTTCTTAACATAATACTTATTGTCAACTAGCTGACCCGGCAGACTTCGTAGTGCCTCAACCAATAAATAAAAGACCTAAACTTTTGTATAAAGTAAACTTAAAACAAACAAAAGGAATCCGTCCGACGTGGGACAGATCAAAAGAAAATAGGACATTGTGCACCGCGGGAGAACAGTAGGACATTTCCTCCCGCGTGTAAAATTGCAAACACGCGGGATGAGATGTTCTACCGTTCTCCCGCGGTGCACATACTCTCCTACCAGGCCGAAAGTTCGTGGAGTACATAGCCGGGGTTCAGGAGCGAAGCCCTGGCCGGGGGTAGGGGGGGCGGGGCCCCCCCTTACTCATAAAACAACAATTTAACTGTTTTTTGAATTTTTAAATAAACTGCTACTAATTGAATAAGAACTGTCTGATGAACTCATATTTGTTTAATACTTCACTATAAAATTTTATTGCCTATTGTTTATTTCACTTTTACACTAAACACAATATTGCAAATTACCCGAGCACAACAATGGCGGAGAATTTTAGGTGCGTGAGAGCAGACGTAGACACTAACGCGCATGCGCACTTGTTAGTACCCAGGGAGGAAAAGTTACACTTTCTTCCCTGTACAGCGGGAGGAAAACCGAACTTTCGACGTAGGTAGGAGAAAACCAAATTGTAATTTTTATTAATTCCGAGCATTTTCATATTTATCTACCTTTTAAACCTTCTCCGGACTTCCACAAATCAAGACCTAATTCAAGACCTAAATTAGCCAAATCGGTCCAGCCGTTCTCGAGTTTTAGCGAGACTAACGAACAGAAATTCATTTTTATATAATATAGATAGATTTAATTAAATTTATATTTATTTATTTGCATTAAACTAACAGCGCGCAGATGTTTAATGCAAAATACGACATATTATTTCTTAACATATAACTTATTGTCAATGTTATGTATGAATATTTTAAAATAGGAATATTGGTTTCTTGTTAATATGATTGCCTTACCGTCAACAGCCCCGCGAGCGAGTCTGCGACATGTCCCCTGAGGACCAGAAAGCCTGGGAGCAACTAGAGATGGCTAAAGAAATTGACTTCGATCGGATGCTTGGCATCGCCAGGAAACGAGACCTGGTATGAATACGTTTGTGTGTGTGTGTGTGTGTGTTTTTTTTTATAGCTTAGATGGGTGGACGAGTTCACAGCCCACCTGGTGTTAAGTGGTTCTCCAGTAACCCATAAACATCTGCAACCGTAAATGCGCCACCCACCTTGAGATATAAGTTCTAAGGTCTCACTATAGTTACAACGGCTGCCCCACCCTTCAAACCGAAACGCATTACTGCTTCACGGCAGAAATAGGCAGGGTAGGTAGTGTCGCGGTGTCGCGGTAGGAGGGGACCCCGGTCCCTCCTCCCACTTTAAGCACTAAGATAAGTCCCGAAAGCGTCGCCCTCACAATAACCAAGACAACCATTAAGACACGAGATCTGTCCACAGCTGCCCGAGGACTCGGAGTACGAGGACGAGACGCTGTACATCTGCCACATCGACCCGGCGCCCTTCCAGCTGGTGGAGAGGACTTCTCTACTCAAGGTACTGCCTTCAACCAAGGAAGGCTAATGGTCAAGCTAAACTGAAATTACCAGATTTTCCTCCTCCTCCAGAAATACTCAAGGCTTAGGTAGGAAAAAAAAGTCTACTGATGGGTTCCTGTGTCCACAGGTCCACTCGCTGTTCTCCACGCTGGGGGTGAGTCGCGCCTACGTCACGGCCATCGGCAGACTCATTGGGGTCGTCGCGCTCAAAGAGGTGCGTGTCTCGTGTGGGGGCGGCCCCCCTACTGCCCCACTCCCCCCATATTACACTATTTTTAATTTAAATTTATTAATTTTTTTTTCTATTTTTAGTTGGATTTTCTGTAAAAGCGTATTTTGTTAGTTTTTTTTAAAGTATTATTTATTATTTATACAGGTTTTATTTAGTTAAAACTATTGGTAATTTAACCGACGCATTACGTTCCAGCTCCGAAAAGCGATCGAAGACGTGAACAGCGGCGTGCTGACGGTCGCCACCCGGCCCTCGCCCCCCACCACCCCGCTGCCCACCATCATTAAGGTGCCCTCGACCCAACCCGCGCCGCCCTCCGACAGCGAAACCGCCAAACTAACGACGTCGGAAAAGGCATAAATTAATAAACCGAAATAAATTTGAGAGCCACTGGCTGTGAAATTGGTTGAGAAACATTGACCCTTTTGTTGTACTATACGTAGTACAGTGGATAGGGGAGAATCGGGACGCTTTTCAATTCCAAAAAAAATAATTTCAGCGATTTTTCTTAGGGTAATACCAATAAAATTGAGATTAAAATGCTTCCGGAGGCTAAAATTTTTATATACGATGCATTATTATTATAGATAGTTCATTAAAAATATACACAAAAACTTAACAAGCTAGCTTGACCTGATCCACCTTGGCTTTTGGGTGAATCGGGTCACGTATGGGAACAAAAGAGTTTTTCGTTAGGGCTGGCACTGTTTAGTTGTTAGGTAGGTACTTACCTTCGGGTAATTAACTATTCAATATCTTTAATCAGTTACAAAACTCTGATGAATAAATTAAATTATTGTAATATTCTCAAACACTAAATAAAAGTTATTTTCAATTCAACAAATTTAAATCTCACAAAAGCACTGTGACAACCCAGATTTGTCCCTATTCCCCCCAATCTGCGGTACAGACGTTATATTATTATATGTAAAAAAGTAATTAGTTGACTGTTTCTCGTTAATTAACTGTATTTATTGCTTTAGTATTAACGTAGTGGCTATTTAGTTAAGCTAAAATAAATATGAGTGTACATGTGTATATATATATATAGAAGACAATGATTTTTGTTTAGTGAATCTTAAAGTGCAGACGAAAATCTATGATTGTTCGCGGAGGGCACCAGTGACGGTGTTGTTAACTAGAATTTTAATGATAAATCTTTTCAGCAAAAAGATAAATATTCCTTCGTAGAAATATAAAAATGTAGTGATTTTTTTTTAAGTCAGATTCGTTTCTGGCCACAGTTTAATGTTGATTCGAGTACAACTTATTAGTGTATATAAGCAATATACAGGCCTTTTCTGAGGAAAAAACAAAGAAAAATCGCTCAGAAAAAATCATATTGAGGGCATTTCGTTTTAAACCCGACATTTATATTTGTATTTAAAAGTCCGTTTTCTGTAGTATTATTAACATGAACAGATCGATTTTTTAATCGAAGTTCAATTATGCTTATACCAGTCAAATAGCTGAAAAAGTTTTTTTTTTTGTTTTCATGATATTATTCCCTTATACACAGCATTCCCTATTACAAGAGTAATCTGATTTAAGGATGAAAAATGAAGATAATCACAATACTACATATCTAAAAAGAAGTTTCACTTCTTTCACGTGCACGAAGTTGCACGTGCATTTTTCTTTTTAAAATCAAATTGCAACGCCCTGTATACAAATCGCCAAATTATAATGAATCAAGGCTTGTGATCGTCCAAATCATTCCAACTTTATATATTTTGTTAGTTAATAAGAGTGAAACACTTCTTATAAATAAAGGAAGTATAACTTCAACGTACAAATTTTGCCCTATTTATTGTTTAATTTCAAAATAACTATTGCCGTGAAGTATCTCACATACAAGGTCAAGGACCGTTGGTAGTGTTTCTAATTATACGACCATTACTGTATATTTATGAAATGCCATGTAAGTAAATTATTTAAAAAAAAACAATAATAATTGCCAGAATAAATCCGTTGTATAATGATTGTTATATGAATAGTATGTTCTTAAATCAACAATATTACAATATTAATGTAATCAGCAAATAATATTAATTTCGCACCTTTAAAATTAAAGAGGCATAACTAAAAATTTTAAGAAAATCAGTTTTCATATTTGGTACGACTTATAAACATGTATTTATTCTATCAGATAATAAAATTAAAGTTTTTAAATTAAAAATTAAATTTAGACTTTCCGTCTCTTTTAAATCAAGCGCATACTTTAAACTTTAAGGTAAGCGCTATAAGGTTTAAAGTATTTAAAATGGAAACTGAAAGAAATTACAATTCTCTTTTTACCAAAAAAACAAGAATTTTGTATTAACCCACTTTAATTCTATAGGTACGATTTGCTGACCTAAGTGTGAATACTGTAGTACAAAAATATCTTTTAATAATATTAGTCGATACTGACCTCTGTGTCCGGGGTCACTGAACCCTACGTACATATCTCGAGATACATCTTTTAACAATGTTCTCGCACTGTCGATGACACGTTAATTAAACCTGAGTTTAGATAGTGAAACTAGTTGATAAATTTGTATTTCAAGACTTAAATGCGAACAAAATACATAATAATATATTATAAATAATTTAATTATTCAAACATAATGTAAGGTAAATGCTTTAATCAATACAAATAAATAAAATTGCAGTGTCTGTTTGTAATAATAAAATAACCACTTTTTACTAAATGCGTAAATATGTACACCACAGTACATATACCAAAATTTATATATTTTATTTATTTTTGTCTGTCTGTCTGTCTGTTTGTTCCGGCTAATGTCTGGAACGGCTGGACCGATTTTGACGAGACTTTCACTGATATATAGCTGATGATATAAGGAGTAACTTAGGCTACTTTTTTGGACTAGCTTCGCTCCGCGGCGTCACCCGCGATACGACAATAACCGCGTGTAACATCGCAGGACTCTGCTATCAATAATAAAATTTAATGTTTCCGAAGCGAAGCGGGGGCGGGTCGCTAGTACTGAAATAAATCTACGGTTTCTCTACCTATTGTTGTTTCGGCGAAACTGTTATTTTTATATATTAGAAACTGTTATTTTTATGTTGACAACACTGAACAATATGGCCGATTGGCGTAACTATACAACGTGAAGTTCTTAATAAGTTTCTCCCTAAGTAAATTGCTTATCTCGGTTTTATAAATTGTAGTAGGCGCTTGGTAACAGACAGACTTCGATAAACTGCTGTCTATTCTATGCCATTGAGATTGACCTCACGCCTCAAGAAGCGCGGAGGTATTCATCTTTCCAATCACGTACAGTAGCGCAATGGTCAACACAAAACAAAGCCACAAGTATATCGTACCCGAGTACTAACAAAATACTCCCTTAATGTAAATGGAATATGATTTATATTTAATTAACGACGGATACATTAATTTATCAGTTCGTATTTTTCGTGTCACGTGCGCGGGTCGTTGACCTTGCTGATTTCCGTGTGCCCGACTTTGGGCGGTAGCTTTAAAAAATCTTCTATTTCGAGCTGAACTTATAATTAGTATTAAGTTATTTACGAAACGCCATTTTAGTATTATGATGTGCTTTTTTTTTATTGTTGTGATCATGTTTTATCGAACTATAAACGATATTTTTTGTGTCGTTGTCTGTTGTTTTATTGTTCGGGATTCCCCTGCAGTCGTTGGGTTGGAGGTGACGTGATTTCGATATAAAGGTATCGTAGTCTAAATTTTTTTTTATTGCTTATATGGGTGGACGAGCTCACAGCCTACCTGGTGTTAAGTGGTTACTGGAGCCCATAGGCATATAGACATCTACAACGTAAATGCGCCACCCACCTTTAGATATAAGTTTTAAGGTCTCAAGTATAGTTACAACGGCTGCCCCACCCTTCAAACCGAAACGCATTACTGCTTCACGGCAGAAATAGGCAGGGTGGTGGTACCTTACCCGTGCCGACTCTCAAGAGGTCCTACCACCATTAATTACGCAAATTATAATTTTGCGGGTTTGATTTTTGAAAAATTGCTTCCCGCCTTGGATTCGAGCACCGGTGCATCGCTCAACACGAATGCACCGGACGTTTTATCCCTTAGGCCACGACGACTTCATAGTCTCAATTGTTGGGGTGGTTTTTCAAGTTAAGTACTGCTTTCTCTTTTTCCTTGCCTATTCGGTGCTAAGGAGCTATTCCAGCTACGCTGTGAATCGTAGGTGAGCTCACGGGACTCAACCTAAGAGAGCTTGCTAACACTAGCCCCAGCAAGAGCTGCGAAGCACGTAGAATCTACCACCGGATAGGAATCGCGACCCACTGAGAAGATCCGGCGAGAAACTCAGTGGGCTATGCCTATGGGTTAGTTCGTTCGTCGAACTCTTCGTCGCAATCGACGAGTTCGACGAGCACGGCACCCGGTGCTTGAAGAGCTTAAAAGTTACAAAAGTGGATCCGGGGGATCCGACATGACATTTTTGGGTCGGTTAAAGTAACTAGCAGCGGCGACGATAAAATAGTTGTCGTGTTGCACCGCCTTTTCAAAGTAGCGTTCTGATGCTTAACGTACAAGTGTCAAGGGTGGGCTAGTATTAATCTATAAATTTCAAGAATAATCTTAACGATTACAGTATATCATAATAATACGGTACATCGTAAGCCTGAACGGGTAAATATGACCACCATACCTATTTCTGTCGCAAAACAGTTATATATGTACCTATATGGTTTCAAATATGAACTAGCCATTACACTATACAATTGGAATTTAGACCTTATACTTAATGTCTCAAGGTGAGTGTTTGAGTATATCGTATCCACTGGCTCCAGTGTGCACTTAACAGCTGGTGTCCTGTCAATCTGTTTCAAAGAGTTGAGTAATAAAAAAAATGTTCCTACAAAACAATAAAGATGTTTATATCTCGTGCGTCAAGGTGGATAGTGATATTTAGGTTGTGATACACGGGTAGCTGATTGACTTGAAAACTAGTCGTTGACCGGCAAGCTTGGGGAAGTCCCATGTCGTCCAAAGTGTGCCGTGGCAAGACGAAAGCAGTGTGCTAAGTGTAAGTTTTCTTCTCGATCGCGTAAAAGCGACAAACGTAGGGGCGCTGTTCCAACTCCATACAAATTTGAGTTAATGAGTTAACTTTAACGCGATCTAGAAGTTATAAAACTCACACTAAGCACACAAAAAAATAATTAAAAACAAAACAACGAAATTGGTACAAATTCAAAATATTTATTTCACAAATTCAAAATATTTTATTTTTCTACTCCTCCCCTTTTCGTCCGAACTAAAAATACTTAAACTTAACATCTATAATACTTATCAACTGTACAAAATAAACTTAACAAATAATTAACTTTTAAGTACATAATAAGTTGATGCGCGGGTAACAAGATTTTAAGGTTATCTTTTGCTTATGTCCATGGGCTGCGACTCATTCAAGTAAGAAGGCGAATTCTAACTTGAGCGTGGTGAAAAGTTGGCGCCGAAACTTCTGGTCTGATGCTCAGACCGATAAATAGACAAAAAGACACATTTGTTAGATTAATCTCGTGTCAGTGTAATCGCCGCGCGAGTGTTGCCATGCAAATAAATCAATAAACAAGCTACCCAATTACCGCATGTTATTTTTTCGGGAAATATCAATTTGCATATGTAAGTAGTTTTTATTTTATTTAATCGAATGTTAAATTTCAGCTTCATCGTGAGAGAGTGTAATAGTAAAATCTCAGGATGAGTTTTGGTGTAACCAATATTCAATCACAAAACAACTGAAAAAAATATCTACATTTTGTTGATAAAACTTACAATAATTTCTTAAAGAAATTAAATCCT